ACGTGGATGCTTACAGTATGACATCATATCAATGACTATCAACAAATATTGTTTAAAACTCATTAATTATTATGTTGAGGATAAATTTTATTACAAAAATTCTCAAATATTTTGTATCATATCTGTACTCGGTAAAACTTAACAAAACATTACGTTTTATATGTTTTATATTTCATTCTCTCTCAGTCTCTCTCTCTCTCTCTCTCTCTATCTCTCCCTNATATCTGTCTCTTTCTCACTTCAGTTAGGAAGATTGGTAGATGCATAGTTGATGGAATTCTACTTCTTGCAATAATTAGGTAGAATTAGACTGACACTGATAAAGGTAAGAGAAATATTGAGGTCGTGAAAGAATGACATGGGAGAAAAAGTGAGAGTGACAAAGCAGAAGGATGAGTGAAAGGGAAAATGAGTGAATAAATTAAGAGAAAGAAAGGAAATGAGAAAGAGAAGAAAAATAGTTATGAAAAATTTTGAAAGAATGAGAGGAAAGAAAATGAGAGAATTAGTTGGCGAATGTAAAGACAGTGAGAATCACCAAGAATTTTTTTTTATGTTTCTTTATCTTTCTATTACACTCTTTTCTTATTTATTCAAACTTAAAGTTAAAAAATAGTAGGTGAGCAGATGCACACACAGATAGAACTTTACTTTTTGAAAAACTAAACTAGAACTGATAGTCCGAAAGCTAGGAAAGAGGAATAAGAAAAGAGTGAGAGAAACGAAACTGGAGAATGAGATGGAGAAAAGAAAAGTGAGAGTGACGTAGTATCTCTACTTGTTTTCGATCATTGTTGTTTTTACTTTTCTTGATTACGACTGTCTCACTCACTCTCTCTCCTCTCTCTTATGACTCTCTTTTTCTGTCTCTCACTTTCATTGTTACATGAATTTTTTTGTACCTATGCGGCCCTATCTTTCTCTCTTCGTTTCCTCTTCCGCAATCTAATATGACTACCTATATAGATATCTTATATATCGTGTGTGTGTGTGTGTGTGTGTGTGTGTGTGTGTGTGTGTGTGGTGCGAGTGTCTGTGTGTGCGCGTGCGCGTGTGGGTACATTTAAATACAGGGTGTATCAACTTCTATAGTTCACCCATTTAATTAAGCAGAAAATGGTTTTAAACAAACCCCCAGTGAATTTTGGCTAGAAATGGCTAGGTGGTAAGTGATTTAACAAAACTTTCTCATCTAGCTAGGAAATAAAACTACCCTTTTTACTTTACATGAAATGCCATATTTTTATTGCACAGTTCGATTCTAGAGCTTATTTTATGCACTTTTACTGAAAGAAAAATTTTGGTAGGATCGGCCAAGATTGAACATAAGTTTCTAATCTAGATGGGAAATGACACTAACTTTACTATTATAAATGAGAATCCCGTATTTTTATTGCTCAGTTCGATTCTAGAGCTTATTTTATGCACTTTAACTGAAGGAAAAATTTTGGTAGGATCGACCATTTCTAAGTTATGCCCGACGGAAGACGCGTGAGGGGGTATGCTTTATGGCCTCCTCGTTTATTTCGGAAACGATTACCTTTACCAAAAAATAGTCTTATACAAACCCCAAGTGAATTTTGGTTAGGAATCGTGTGGAGGTAAAAGATTTAGCATAACTTTCTCATCTAGAAGAGAATTGACACTAACTTTACTATTATAAATGAGAATCCCTTATTTTTATTATACGATTCGATTCTAGAGATTATTTTATGCCATTTTTGTGAAAGGAAAATTTTGATAGGATCGACCATTTCCGAGTTATGCCCGAGGGAAGACGTGTGGGGGGGCTATGGTTTTTGTAACAGCAGAACAGCCCTCCCCGTTTATTTCGAAAACGATTAGCATTAGCAAGTTAATTTAGGATAGGAATCGTCTCAGAATAGGGTAAGGATCATGGGGTAGTTATTACGCTTCATTTATATTAATTTTTGAAAACAAAAGAAGTCTTTTTACAAAAAAGAATATTTTTTATCATCATCGAGCCTATTTTCTTTTTAAAATGACTACAGATCTACTAATCCCAGGCTCTGAAGTTGATCTCAATAAAAATCGAAACGTTGGCACGATAAAGAAAATGTTTTTCTGAAACCTACATCAGACCAGACCGCATCTCACGATTTCTGAATAATTATCGATTAACGGTCACTAATCACAACACATTAAAATTTATGTTTATAATAAATGCTAAATTACTGCGTTTGATGCGCAGAGCTCTCCTCTTTTCAGGCATGCTTCATTTGTTGCCTTTTCTATTTTCTTTGATTTCTCTGCAAGCCATAAACTTCAGTAAAAGGGCATGAAATAACCATTACAATCAATTCACAAAGTTAGTGTCATTTCCAGGCTAGATGAGAAAGTTATGTTAATAATGTTACTACCACGCGAGTCCTGGTGAAAATTCACTTGGGGTTTGTTGCTAAAGTTAATCGTTTCCGAATTAAATGGGTGGACCATAGAAGGTGATAAACTCTGTATATGTTATGTATGTACCCACATGCACACGTACATTTATATATGTATAACTCATTTCTCTGCTGTTTTCTGTATCTTTTTCAATATGTTTCATTTTGTTCCCCAACCCTACGATAATTTCGATCAGGTACCGTTTCTACAACTTGTCAATAAAGTATGTTATTATTACATTTTTAATTGCTGTTTAAATAATTACTTGTGAACGTGTGTGTAGCTTGTATACGTCCGATAAACGTATGAATTTAAGAACCGGCCCAAAAATCATCTTGTTCACTTCAAATATTGTTGACGTCAAATTAAAAATGATTAAAAATGGAAAAAAAATGAAATGAGGTTTGATTTATGAAGATTGCAATTAAATTGTAATCTGAAGAGACAATTGAGTAAGTGCAGTAATTTACTTGTTTTTCCCACTAGGTTTTTTTAACCTTTTAACAATTTCATCCCACGTTTTTGTTAAATTATCATTAAAGAACAAATACAAGTTAATAGGAATCTTTATGTTTGAATTGTATTTAATGACTAAAAAAAAGAAAAAAACAACATTGAATTATTTGGATTTGACAAAAAGAAAGTAGTGTAGAGTGAAATGTTGAGTGATAATATCCCAACGAATTGTCAGTTAGCGTTCTTCCTTAATCAGATTCAAACCTCAAGGATTCCGACCATTCAACCGCTGAATCGAGGCTTTCACCCGACCGTGATACCAAACACTGTTTACTTAATTAATTAACTAAAAAGTGTAATTAATTAAATATTAAACTGTAATGATTGTATGAAGTTTCATCCCCAGTTGGTCAAAAGACCACTTGATGCACTTCGTTAGGCTTTTTTTTCAACATTGATAAACAATTAAATATTTTTGTGCTTCTATCCTTTAAAATGAAATGGGATATCACGGAATAAAGCAATGACTGGCATAAATTGATTGCCTCTTGAAACTTTTACCGAACTACAAACGTAAAGGGTAAAAAAACCCTAAATGTCAAACTTATCGCTTCGTCGTCTTTGCTCGTCAATCGTCAGGTTTTGCTTGCTAAGGATCATGACTGACTGCATGTCAATTATGTTAAAATGTACAAATCCTACGTGTATATTATTGTTACTATTATTAGTTGTTTTAACAACTTTACACACTTATACAGGATGGTCAATGTAAAAATAACGGGGCAATGAATGAATTACAAATAACAGACTGGCTGATTTTATAATGAAAAAAAATTTGTATATTATTTATACACCGATATATTTTATAAAAATTATTAATATATTTTTCCTAATACATAGTGTTGATATTTTCTCTTTTACTCACCTATCACTAGTTCCTTCGTTCTCTCTACCCTATCGCTCCCTTCCTCTCCTCCCAACCACCACCACTCCTCTCTCTCACTCTCTCTCTCTCTCTCTCTCACACTCTCTCTTTCTCTCTTTCTCTCTCCCTCTCCCGCTCTCTTCGCTCTCTCTCACTCTCTCTCTATCTCTATCTATCTATTTTTTCTATCTATCTTTCTATCTATCTATCTATCTACCAACCTAGATCTCTATCTCCCTGTTTTTCTATGTACATATACAATATTTATCTTTCTATATATGTCTCTCTCTCTCTGTCTCTCTCTCTCTCTCTCTCTCTCTCCCTCTCTCTCTCTCTCTCTCTATCTATCTATCTATCTATCTACCTATCTATCTATTTTTTCTATCTATCTATCTATTTATATCTATCTATCTACCAACCTAGACCTCTATCTCCCTGTTTTTCTATGTACATATACAATATTTATCTTTCTATATATGTCTCTCTCTCTCTGTCTCTCTCTCTCTCTCTCTCTCTCTCTCTCTCTCTCTCTTTCTCTCTCTTTTACTTTTTCTCTCTCGCTCAAACACGCATACTTTTCTCTTTCGCAGAAGATTGAATATAGAAACCTTTAACCTTTTGAAGGCTGATGGCTAAAACTGGCTGATTTTCAATTCATTTTCATTTTAAAGCAAAAGTTGGACAGTTTTATTTTAAACTGCGTCGCCAACTTATCTCGACAAAGATTGAAAAGGAAGTTCATTTGCCCGGAATTCTGTTTGGTTTAGAACACAAATGACGTCATTGGGGTCGCCTCGATAATTTTAGAATGTTCACTTTTAATTACAGCCCTTCTGACATCATTTAAAAACACCAGACGTTTCAAATCATACCGATGATCTCAACAGGCGTGATGGAGGGATTTTTTGTGTAAAATAACTGACCTTGTTACTAAAATATAACTACTTCTTTTCAATTTATAATGATAGATTGAAAGCTTCGGAGGAGAACGTATCGTAAAACAAAGCTTTTACATGGGAGATGTTCTCCTCATCCGGCCTAGGATTCAAAAACAAATTATTTCCCTAAACTCACATCAATGGTTTCTTCGAAGTTAATCGGTTTGGAACAGGGCAACAAGAGGGAACAAGAGGGAAATTTTGCACAAACAAAGAGAATAAGCAGATCCCCTTATTGTGAATAAGTCTAACTAAAGTGGATTTCTCACACTTACCTGGCTTCACGTTCTGTCGACTTCTCAAAAGCTCATCTGGAAGCAAAAATGTCGTTTATTACTGAGAAGTAAAGTGATTTTCTTGCCATAATTATTGAATTATAAATTTTTAAACAACCTATGAGATATCAAAGCATGTTGCAATGAAACATTTAACGTTTAAAAATAATTATTAACAAGACTAAAAGACCGTCGAATACGGTATAAAGTAAATTATATATAACATCTGATCACTTGTTACAATATAGGAGGAAGATTAATGAAAAATGACTACCTTTCAGTTTATAAAATGGTCGGGTGAAATCCAATTATTCACCACGTTTTAGTGCATTAGTTCCATAATGGTTTTATTAACGTTACAATGCTCCACTTGCCTTTAACACTTTAAAGTTAAATTTTCAGGAGTGCGCTTGTCCCTTGTGGGTGGCAACGTTTCTCCGCATGCCGGACAACATATGCGGGCTTTGCCCAAAAGTAAGTGGCCATGTGTCAACCTCGCATGGCCTATTCTTATCGGGTGAGGATGCCTCTTCGTTTATGAGTCAGATCCTCCGAGGGACATCTTCAACAATCCTCTTGATACGCGAGAGCTTCCCTGTCGATCCGGCCCATTGACGCTTCTTTTAATCTGTTTTTTATTGCTTTCTTAGAGTCAGAGAGACGGATCGCGGAAGTTAGGTTCGGAGGTCGGTACGTCCCGGCTTTAGCCGCCTCGTCCGCCTTTTCATTACCGTCCAGACCTAAGTGTTCAGGTACCCAGACAACAACACCGTTTTGCCGAAACATTCCAGTTCATGGTATCTCTTCAAACAATAGCACTACAAGAGGGTAGACGGAAAACCTGTTACGGACCGCAGTAACCGCGCTGACGGAGTCAGTGTACTAGGCAGAAAGAGCCTCCATCCTCTCGAATCACCCCAAGCTCAAGCCAAATCGCATACAGTTCTGCCGTGTAAACGCTACTGTGCGGCGGGAGCGACCACGAAAGGGACTTACCCTCGCTATACACGGCAAACATATTTTACAGTCAAGCTATCAACAACTTATAGAACTTTCATCAAAGCTACGAAAATAGAGGGAAATGTTTTTAAAAGAGAAATTATATTAAAATTCAACTAATACTCGGTTTAATAGTTTCAACTTAAAATTCCCACACACGCTGGGAGCAAAGCTGAAGAACATAATATCTTACTTATACCATTTTTGTCTTTCTATTTTATCATTCTCTCCTTCCCTAATCATACTTACCTCTCCTCACTCTTTCCCATTCAACACTATAAACGTACATCTTACTCGAACCATTTTTTTATTTTATTATATCTTCTAAAATACTTATTTAGGGGGTTCGTTGGCTATAACGGTTTAGCGTTGACGCAACGCTCGTCACTTTAAGGTAAAGGTCCCGGGTTCAAACCCAGCGGCCTTGCATTCAAACCATATATGCTAACTGTCTATGGGTTTACTACTACTCTTTCTTTTCCGACTTTCTTTCCCACCCCTTCAAAATCCAACGTAAATAGATATAAAACAGCAATATCTCACTGGCGCTGTCAAGACGACACACAAGAATGGTACAATTACGCAGAAAACAAACACTTTGAGTGAGTAGAAATACTTGGATTGAACCTAACATTTCTATCATTGTATAAATTCATTTTTTCACATCCTACATGTATTTGTAAAATTTAAAAAATGTTTCTAAATGCCAGGCCCTGAAGATGATCTCAATAACGGTCGAAACGTAGGCACGATAAAGAAAATGTTTTTCTAAAACCTATGTAACACCAGACCGTGCAGAAGAATAGCAGGAAGAAACTGGGGATGTAAGCTAGAAACCCTGTTATGGATGTACACCATAATAGAAAGACCTCTACTTACATACGGAGCTATAGCCTGGGCTGATAAAGTGGAACAAATAACCAAAAGGAAAGAACTCACAAAAATACAGAGACTTGCATGCATCTGCATAACGGGAGCAATGAGAACATGTCCTACAATTAGCATGGAAAAGATATTGGGACTAATCCCCCTATATCACATGATAGAAAGGACAGCACAGAAAACCATAATCAACTTTATTAGAGAGAAACCTCCAACAGGAATAAAACTGAAATGGAGAGACAGAAACAAACTGTGGAAAAACCATCCCTCGCTCATGGCTCCAAGAGATGACATGAACAGAAGGTTTGGATTTAATCAAAAATTCCGAATACATCTGGGCACCAAAAAGGAATGGGAAAGAAAAGGAAATAACTCCCTCAAAAAGGGCACCATCCTTTGGTACACAGATGCATCTAGAACACAAGAAGGTACAGGGGCAGGAGTATCTGGACCTGGAACCAAATACTCAGAACCCATGGGAAAACACACCAGTATCTTCCAAGCTGAGATTCACGCAATTGAAAGATGTATCCAATTCAATCTAAATAGAGGGTACAAAAACATGAATATAGCTATCATGTCAGATAGCCAAGCAGCCATCAAAGCACTAAGCTCAAATACCATTAGTTCAAAGATGGTGCTGAACTGCAAAACCAAACTAAACATATTGGGTATGCAGAATAAAGTTAGCCTCTGCTGGGTCCCAGGAGACATGGGAGTAGAAGGCAACGAGGAAGCGGACACCCTTGCAAGAAAAGGGGCTGCCACACCGCTGATAGGACCCGAACCCTTCTGTGGCATAGGAACCCACACTATTAACCTCAGACAGAAGGACAAAAAGAAAATGAGTGAACTTTGGAATTCACTTATTGGGCATAGACAATCCAAGAATCTTCTAACCAATTTTGGCAAGAAAGAAATCACAGAATGTTCAAAGGAAGCGGGAATAGACTGCGAATCCTAACAGGATTCCTGACAGGACACAGTAGATTAAATGGACATCTAAAGAAAATTGGAATAATCCAAGATGGCACATGTAGATTCTGCAAGGAAGCAGAAGAGACACCAACACACTTACTAACAAACTGCGGAGCTACATTAGCCCGCAGGAGGAAGTGTTTTGGGATGTACAATGTGACCATAGAAGAGCTTCAACCACTGAAACCGGGCCTATTAATCAAGTTTCTTGATGAAATAGTACTCACCGATGTGCTTTAGGCAGAGCACGGGGGATACAATAGGTCTCAAAGGGCGCAGTATACTATACCCTGAAATTACAATCTACATCTACAATCTACAACACCAGACCGCATCTCACGATCTACAAATAATCTTGTGCAGTCGGCGACTTTGGTCTAGTGGTTACGATCGCCGACTTGGGCCTCGAAAATTGTGGGTTCAATTCCAAACTCCGTTACTGTTATTTATTTATACTCTTGTGCTTTTTGTTTTGAAAATGCGTATGTCGTACGAATTTATGAACTTACAAAAAATATACAGTCAAATTGTCAGTAAAAACAAAAAATTATAAAAATTGTTTTTCTTCATTCCAACTTACAATTATAATAGATATTACATAGAGCCAAATAATAATAAATGTATACTGTAAACTGTATAACTCACGTTAAGTGTAAGAAAGGTCCAAGGTAATTAACTTTGCGTGAATAAATAAAACCATCAATCAATCTCTCACTACATGTTAAATTTATTATAACTTATTAAAGCTAAAACTATGCATGTTCCACTATCATTTTGTTTATTTATTTTGTATTTATTTATTCTAGTAAAATCGAACCGTCGATTGGAAGAGAGATCAATATGACATAAATTTGCGAGTATTATAAATACGGCGCTTCAACCGAACAAAAAAAATATATATATATTTTGCTAACACTCGATGTTGAAGTTTAATTTATAGTCATTAACCCCAATAGCCGGCGATGTTGTGGTAATGATATATATGATATGATAAATGGTGATTTGATATTAAAGGTTCATCATTCAGGTGCGTGGGCGCTTGAATTTATAAAGGAGTCGTTTTGCACAGGTTATCTTTAGATTAATTATAAATATACGCCCACGTCCGGTAACCGAGCGGTCTATTAATTTCACTCGGCCCTGCTAAAACATTCATTACTGCCGACAATAAAATCACCAAAGCCTCGGGGCTTTTATCCGGCTCGGACCACGATTGCATTTTCCAAATGTTTGTTTTGAATTTGGAAGGGCGGAAAGGAGGGATGAAGCAGCCGGATCTAAAACGTTCAGAGACGAGAATTTATTATTTGGACAAATAGAAGCTATGTTATCATCGCCTCTCTAAGCGGAGCGTTATTGTTCTGCTCACACGACGTCCTTTTCCGGAGAAGCCTTGGAAGACTAAAATAAACGTAGGAAATCGTTTTTTTTTTCCCAACGATTACACCGTTCCAGAAGCAATCTGTTACAGTTTTTATAATATATTATTTGAACTTGAAAAACCATCATGTCTCAATTCAAAAAATCAAGCTTGTATAACAAGAAAAATGATTAAAAAGCGCGTTAGTGTCTTGTATGTTCACACCTATTACAAAAATAGCCTTTTTTTCACCGCACCGTCGTACCTGAGAAACCCCATACCGGCGGACAAACGTTTTACGTTAATCGAATTTATAAATCTAACGGACTTCAAATAAATGGGATAAAATTACCTCCCAACGATCTTTCCTTCAGGTGAGACAGCAGGTCGGTTTTCTAAATAACAATATTTTCATTTTAAAACTTAAAACAAAAGGTCTTCCCTTGCTGGTTTCCCCTTGCACACTTGCATATTCGTTATTTTCTTTTCTATATATTTGTATTATCTAAAATTTTCTAACTAAGAAGAGGAAAACAGCCCGGAACCCTAAACCTACGTTTAATTATGCAATAAATAAATAACGGTACTAAAACCCTAACAATGGCAACAATATTTAATACTTAGTAAGCAGAATAAAAAGGGGCCTGGTTGAGGACAAGTCTTTTAGTGCTGCAAATGATTTGGTATCACAGACTAGTTTATGGAGACTAGACGGCAATTCTGCTGAAGTGATGGTCTTTCGCGAACGTTCTCTTTCTGCATTGAATTTGGTACAGCTGAAAAGTTCTGCGTCTTCGTCAGCGCTGCAAATGGAGCA